GACCGTTGCATGCAGATCCATTTGGGGATTTCTTAGCCTAGTCAATGCTGCCTACTAGAGTATGACTCCAAATTTCCCGTATGACTCCAATTACTTGACAGCCCACAACTTTTTTTCTCCCTTTCTCAAAAAACAAACAAACCAATAAATGAAAAGCTGGTATTCTTGCTAGTAGGCTCTCCTTTCTGCAGAGAGACAATTTACCCATGTCATAAAGGTGATTACACTCTCTTCAGCATTGCCATGCTTTCTTTGTGGCTGGATGAAGTACACCTGTAGCTAATTCAGTCATATTTTTAGTGTCCCACACTTAGATGAAATTATTAGCCATTTCTACAGTGTCGGCAACTGCAAATAGAAACGTGCCTTTGAAGGCAACTAGATCCAACTGGAAATTGAAAAATTAATAGGAATTTAGAATAAATGGGCATGTTTGCAATGAACCATTTATGGGTTCGAGAAACCTAGTTCCTCTGGTAATTTGAATAAGCAGTTTTGCTAACAAAGTTTGTCTATTAAGTGAACCTGCTGGATGTACCTGTCATTCACAAAAACTCGAATTATCACTTTCCAATTAAGTTTTACCCTTTCCCCTTAGCTTGCTGGTTTGTGGAGTTGATTCTTTCCATTCTACACAGGGAATGGAGAGACAGAAAAAATAGAAACAACTTACAGTGCTAGCAGAGGCAGGCTGGCCTACATCTCCATCAGGGACGAAGAGTGTTTGTGTTACACACGTAACTTTGGATGAAATTCATGTATATTGTGCAGGTAATTTTGGACGAAATTCAAGTGGTGCCACATTTATTTGAAATGGCAGATATTCTCAATAGAAATTCTCAGTTATGATCAATATCTACTAGTAGTTCTTGATCCGTCTTCTTAATAGATCTCCAGTATCATGGTCCCTACCCCTCTGAGCATAATGGATTTTAACTTCAGGAAAATGAGCAAGTGTCACCAGCAGCTTCAAAATGTTTGTAATCATAATGATTCGTCATACTAGTAAAATGTGTTACAGTGTCCTTGCCACCTTTATTTATGTGATTTTAGTCCCTTTGGTGTAACTTCCTTTTCCCCAGTGGAAATGTGTGTCCCTCAAGGAAATTCAATGTGCTGCTCACTCATTGATACATCAGGAACCCCTTTTATGTTCTCTTCAGCTTTTTAGCAGTTAGAGCACTGTTCTCAAGGAGACAGTTATCAACAGGATTGATTTTTCCATTTGACTCTGAGATGAGATTGCAGCAGTATGGCAACAGACCAGATCCAGGGTGCTGATGCTCGCCTGGAAGGGTGAGGAAGGAGCCAGGGATCTCAGAGATCAGGTTGAGCAATCTGAGAGCATGACTTTGGTGCAAATGAAGCAGCATACATTTTAGCTGGTGTGAAGGTAGAGAAGATATTTAACCTCTTTGAGATTGTTTCTTCATCTTTCTGTAGAGGATGATAACAAGATGCACCTCATGAGGTTATTGGAAGGATTAAAGGAGGCATTCATGTGAAGTCTGAGCACAGTCCCTTGTGCAAGACTAACATTTTTGGTTGCATACACTGATCATCACTGCTAATTCAAGTTGAGGAGAAAGCAATCTGTTTTGCTTGGAAAGTGTTCTATTTCAGTTTATTTAGATACATGGCTTAAGGAATTTCACCTTACATTTCTACAGTTTATAAAAATCTATTATGTTCAAACTTTCAAAGTAGGTGACCCATTCTGTGAGCAGGTGCACACACAGGCATAGTTATGAGTAGTTATGATTAGCATACATATTGTTTTCTGGAGGCAAACATTTTAAGAACCTGAAAAGCTTGTCTTTAATATATGAAGTTTCTTCCTTTTTAGCCATTTTTATATTTTTTATTTGCTCATCAATACCCTTTCCTAGGAAATATATAATTATGCATTTAACAAATACCTACGTAATATATACAGAGTGCCAAGCATTTCCTAGGCCTATTACAAATATTAATTAATGTAATCCTTATGAAGTTGGTTCTATTATTATTCCTGTGGTTACAGATATGTAAACTGAGGAACAAAGTAATTAAGTAACTTGCTCAAGATCTCGTAGATAGTAAGCTGTCCAGCCAGGATTCTAATCCAGGCCGGCTGGCTTCAGAGTCTGTACTTACAGGTATGAGGCTAGATCAATCTAGCCCATTTGTATGGTGGCAGCTTTTGAATAACTGGATTTGGGATTATTTAACTTGTTCTGTGTGTCTGTAGGTCTAGGCTTTCTGAGTTAACTTAGAGTTACCTTATTTAGTTTGTTTGGGACTGTGGTACTAACTATAAATTTCCCTTTTGCATAAGTCATACAGATAAGGAGTTTAGGGATGCAGGGGGATGCCAGGGAGTGGTGTTAAGGACTTCCTCTAAAGGAATTGTGTCACATAAATTAGGAGCCATGGATTTGACTGACTTAAACTCTTTTCTCAATCCAGACTAGATTCTGAGACCTCCATCATTTTAAATTATTTTAGGAATCCCTTCTTAGTAATTTAAAGTAGTTCTATTCAGCACAAATAGAAGACCTATGTACTGAGACCAGAATTTTTATTATTTTTTTATTTTCTTGCTAATAAATTAACTCTTAATTTTAAGACATTTTAAAACTCCACTAACCATAATGAACCCTATGAATTTAAGAAATTTTTTAAATTTTTCAACTAGTTTGTGTTTGCTTTTGAAGAAGTTAGTGAACTTGTTTGATTTCCCTCTTAGTACTTGTCCCTGATCCACCAGTAGTGGTCTGCTTTTATAATACCAACTGACCATATTTTTAGTTTGAAAAACACCATGAGCTTTCCTTGCTCTACATGCTCTTGGTTTCCTGCCACATCACTGGTAGCTCCTTTGCCATGTCCACCTATGTTCTGCGACTTCATAAAGTGGAACTGCTCCAGAACTCAGACTTTAGTCAGATCATATCACTCCTTCACTCAAAATGCTGTAATGACTTCTTGTTTAAAGTCCCTGCGGTAAGACTCTTTATCATCTGGTCCTTCACTCTTTCTCTGGCCTAATTGCCTATTCATTACTTTGCTATCACTGCTGGAACAATGTACCACAAACTTAAATGGTTTAAACAACAAAAAATTGTCTCACGGTTCCAGAAGCTGAAGTCTGAGATCAAGGTGTCAGCAGGCCTTCCTCCCTCTGTCGGTGCTAGGGAAGGGCCTGTTCCTAGCTCCTCTCCTAGCTTCTGGTAGCTCCTTGACTGGCAGAACAACTCCAGTCTTCATATGGAATTCTCCTTGTGAGCATGTCTATCTCTGTGTCCAAATTTCCTCTTTTTATAAGGACACAGTCATATTGGATTAGGGGCCCACCTTATTCCAGTATAACCTCATTTTAACTAATGGTATCTTCAATTACTCTATTTCCAAATCAGGTCACATTCGGCAGTACTAGGGGTTGGGACTTCAACATATGAATTTGGGATGCAATTCAGTCTGTAACACCTACTATGCTTCTTCCTGCTCACTGTGGGGTAGCCATACTACCTTCTTTGAGGTTTTTTGAGTACTTGAATGTGCTCCTGCCTTAAAGTCTTTGCCTTATCTGTTCCCTCTGCCTAGAACACTCCCACCCTCACCACCACTGTCCTCATGGATTACAAACTCCCTTCTTTAAGTATGTCTTCAAATATGCCCTCCTCAGTAATGCCTACCCAGATCACCCTATTTAAAATCTTACCCCAACTCCTCCTCATGTCCCTCAAACCCTCTTGTCTGTTCATTTTCTTTTTTCCATAGTATTTATAACCTTATAACTAAAATGTTTTTTGTTTGTCTTCTGACCCTGATACTGGAGTGTAAGCCCACTGAGGGGCCTGTGTCTTTTTTTATTCAATGTAATCCAAGCACCTAGAACTGAAATTGTGTGTAGCACTCCCATTTTTCTTTGTTGGTTTAGTTTGAGAGATGAAACCCTTTAATATATTGGAGTAATGCAGGTGGGAGAAAGGCAAAACATATCTGAAACAAATTTCTTGCACACTGTGACATGGCTTTTCCATGCCATACATTCGAGGCTTTTAGCTAAATGCCATCTTCATGATGACTGCAAATCATTGTGGGTGCTTGCCATGGCTCCCTTCTGAGAGCTCAAAGCATTCTCTTCCTACAGAGAGGAATCAAACTCTTCCAGAGATGGGAGAGGCCTCATTTGACTGGCTTCTGCCATCACTTAGCATGTGGAGAAGCAATCAGTGAGGCTTCTAGAAGGGACCTATTACTCAAGTCAGGAACTCAGGCATCATGACTTGCTGTGATTTTCCCACTAACATCAAAAGCAAAAAGCTCCTAAAGTAACCACAAAGTACTCTGAGAGACATTTCTCTGGCTTCACTGGAGTAGATAAGGTTTAAAGGGCCACAGATGTTACATCCACTTGCCTTAATAATCACATCAAGGTCTCTCATGGTTCTCTGGTAGGCAATGCAAGGAGAGATTCCCAGCAGAACTGCTAAGCTAGCCAAGCCAACATTTTATGTTAAAATTGTCTGTTTGTTATCAGCCTCTACCTCATAGAAAGTGGAATCTAATGAGGGCAAGCATGTCTTGCCTATTGTTGATTTTCATTCTGGTGCCCAGCATAGATACTGTATATAGAAAATGCTTGGAAAATCCTTCTTAAACCCCAGCTGAAGTACAGTCTCAGAGCTCAGCCCACACAATCTCATGGAGGTTGCATCACCACCCAGCTACCTGGGTTAAGTATCACTGTGGCATGGTCCATGCCTTTGTTCTTTGGTTTAGTTTCTCATTAAACTCATGAATGGCTTGCAAAAATAAATTCTGAAACACTGCTTAAGGAGTTCTTCTTGCAGGGGTAAGATTGGTGACCTGTAGGAGAGCCTGAAAGGGTGTTTCTGAGGTCATGTGGCCCAGGTGGTGAAACCTGTCAACAGTGCATCTAAAATGAATGAGTCTTCAAAGAGGAAGGACTGCCTCTACAGATGTGGGAAACGTGACATTGATTTTTTTTTCAGCCATGCTCTTTCATGGATGGCAACATTATCCATGACTAACCATAAAACAGGAGTGGTATCAAGAGGCATCATTGACCAAAGCAGCACATTTGATCCCTCAATCCACAGGTAATAAACCCATCTTATTCCTTATTTGGCCATACATCATATACTTCCTGAACAATGGCACTTTTTTTTTTTCTCGTCCTATCAGTGCTATCTACATTAAATCCATTTAAAAGAAAAGGCTAGGCATGTTTTAGTGCAGAGGTAGTTCCTTTTGATGAGGATGGATTCTTTCTGCAAACAAAGCTTTATCAAGAACCTAATGAAGCCTATGCTTTGGGGCCTTCTGCTTCCCCTAGTGGGAGACTTACCATGTGCCACAATCAGTTTTGTTTGTAAAATTTTCAAAAGGAATGTATTTTAAACACAATAGGTTTATTGTACTGTCTCTCACCATTCTGATTTCCCTTCTGCCACACTTATCTTCATATGGCTGCAGGCAATTTTGAGGTTCAGCTAAAAGGGAATGTTGAATTGAGAATGCATTTATTTAGGTTAGATTGAGTGGAATATATTTACATTGTTTGCACTAATTTCTTTTTTTAAATTTTTTATTATACTTTAAGTTCTAGGGTACATGTGCACAATGTGCAGGTTTGTTACATATGTATACATGTGCCA